AAATATAAACAAATGATATAAAACAATAGGGAAAAAAAAAATCCACTTATTGTTGGAGAAGTATGGTAGGCGCTGTAAGAGTTTTGCTCTCTTTAAAATGGCAAAGCTCGATTTGTAATGGAACGAGGAAACATATGACATACGAAAATACAATGTTGCAGCCTTTAGTTGTCTGATAGCAACCAGTTCAGAAATGAGAAATTTTCTACGCCACTTCCCTCTATTTCCTCCATTTCTTCCTCTCTTAATCCCTCCCTCTCTTCTGTGATTTTCAACTTCTACCAATATTGTTGTAAATAAGATATTATAACCCTGAAAGAGTCTCTAAAATTTGAACTAAATTTCGTAACAAATTTCATTCTTAAAAAAATAATTAAAAATTTTAGAAAATATCTTAAATGGAATTTCCCTAAAAATACCGAAATATCAAAATACAAATGAAAAATTGCGTTTTGGCATTTTGGTACATAATTTTCTTGACACAGGAAAGCAAATCGGAAGACATTTTGGGTAAAGAAAGGATTTTTAAAGATTCGTTATTCATTGACGTTGAAACTGGTTTTTTGAGAAACGGGACAATTATAATAGATGCATAAAATTCAGTGAACCTTTCACCTTTCACATCTGTTTTCGTGAAAAAAAATTCCACTTTTTTTGATAATGTCTATAAATCTTTTTCTTTTTTAATGAACTAATTAAAGCTAAATTATTGGTGAGGAAAAAATAAAATGTGTTTATTGCTTTTATTTGATTTATTTCTTCAAATCATTCTTCACTCCAATTTTCATATATATTCAATAGAAAAATTTACCTGACATATATTTCATAGAAAAATTTAAAACTGTCAATTCTATATTTAACAAACAAAAGTATTGTATGTTAGATTAGAAATTCTTCGATTTAAATCCATTTGATTTTTTCAAAATAAAAAAAGTGAGTGTGTGAAATCGTTAAAAAAAATTAATTGAAATAGTTTGTAAGCTCAAATATGCAAATTTCAAAAAAAAAGAAACTTTTGGCAAATAAAATAATTAGCAGCAAGAAGCAATTTGTGAAAACAAAAACAGAAATCAAATTATGAAATGGTTGTAGCTGTCAATAATGGATATTTCAACTGTGCATGCATACATACATACACACACACACACACACACACACACACACACACTCATTAATTTATACAATGCCTGAAAATTAGCCGTAATTTAATGTTTGAAAAACTACATCATTGATGGTGTCTGTTAAATGGACTATTGAAATAGTTTCACCATACCTTTTCTTTTCTTCCTCTCTTATTTGCATGATCAAAAGTAAGGAACTATAATTAAATGATTGCTTTTTGTTTAAAAAAAAAAAAATGATGGAAATAGAATTTTGATAAAATTAGAATGATGAAAGATACTGGAAAGAAAGTATTGATAAAAAAAAAATATGCCTCTTAATTAGTACTCATTAACAAATGAAAGAATGATTTGATAATGGAAATAAATATGAAATGCATGCAACACTTCTTTGATATGTAATTATATTTCCATCTTACAATATCACACATTTAAAATAAAATATTGAAGCAATTTTCGCCTTATAAATGTATCCCATTAGAAAAGTAGCACTTGTTTTGATTCATTCCAAATGCAACTCAGTGTTATGAAAACAAGAATATAGAAATTTCTGATAAATTTCTTCGTTTCCTCTATTCTCTCTTTCTCTCTCTCTCTCTCTCTCTCTCTTTCTCTCTTATTCCATCTCTTTTTATTATCATATCAAATCAGCAATAAAAACTAGGTAAAAAAAAGAATTAATGATTATACATTTCTATAGTTTTAAAAATTATTATAATCAAAATTGAGAAAGGTAAAAATAGTAAAAACCCATTTTCCAAATTTCATTCATCATTTTCTTTTTCTTGATTAAATGATTGATTGACAATAATATCTTTCCTTAACTTTCCAATATTTCAAAAATAAAGAAATTGTAATAAAAAAAGTTTACTTCGTCACTAATTTTTACTTCTTCGCATAACTTGTTTCCTCAATTAAAATTAAATGTTAAAATTAGTTTCTAAAAGAAAGTTAAAAAAAGGGATACTCAAACAACGATGAATAAATACCATTTTCATCCATTTCAAGGGAAGGAACAGCTTAAGTGCTCGCTCATTCAACCTGTTGATAGAAAATCATTTCATAAAATTCAAATGAAATGAATATAAATTCTGGCTAGAAAAAATAGGAGGAAAAATAAATTATTATTTACTTATTTAATAAAAAATTCGTATTTACTACTTTTATGGTTTCAATCAAAAAATCAATTTTTTCTTACAAAATTTTATGTGAAAATTTCAAATAAAGTAATGCCTTAAAATAAGGAAATGTTTTTAAAAATGTCTATTCAACTCTTTTTGAAATTAAATACAATAATTAAAAAGAAAACAAAGAATAAAATAAAGGGAAATATTTTCTAACATTTCCTGCTCAATTGTGATTTTAATCATTCTCATCTTCGAGGTCGTTGTAGCACTAACTAATGATGCATTGTTGATTTTAATCATTTTTTTTCTATTTTTAAAAATTTAAAAATTTACAAAAAAGTTGAGGATACTTTTCCTCATAATTGGCCCACTCCTATTCCGTAATGTAATCGCAAAATTTGCTAAGCCAATTATTCTAAATTGCTATAACAAAAAGAAACAAATTCTCGTAGTATCGATTTATAGCATAAAAATTCATAACTGGTTAAAATTTCTGGATAATTTCTAATGGAAAAATTCAACGGAAAAGTGCAGAAAAAAAAATGAAGCGATCTTCTGAAGTGATAATGAAAGAAGAAATCATTAATTGCTTTCTCACTATATCTTACTAAAATGAATGATATAATGAAAGTTTAGAAAAATATTGAAAAAAAAGACAAATATTTTATTTGAAAATTAAGCCATGATTACAACAAGTGGTATATCATTTAATAAAAATCAATTAACAAAAGAATACAGATATCTTATTAATTATTAGAGAAAAATTTCAATAAAAGAATTAATTGGAAAGATTGGCTAAATTGATTGAAGAAATAACAGCATACTACTATTGCAACGAGTAGCATATTTTCAAATAAGAATTAATATAACTGAAATTCGTATAATATAATATGTCTTAAGCAGTATGATTAGATGAAGTTGACCTCATATTTCAAATGCTCAAATAGAAAATTCCATAAGAAATTTATATTATCAAAGCCAAAGATTGATTGATTCTTTTTTCTCTTGAACCTTGAATCATTGAATAAAATTACAACCTTCATATGATAAATTATGAACTTAATTTTCATACTAAAAAATCAATAAATCCGGAATGTTGAATTTTGAAATACAGCTGGAAATAAAGGAAAAATCTGCTTGCAAAAAGCAAAAAATTTTATGAAAAGCAATTACCAGGTAATTTTATGCCTAAAGGCGTCAAGTACTAGTTGAAACATTTGGAAGTAGAAATAGAAGATCCGGTTTGGCAGATAGTGTGATGCGCCATATCAATATCCGAAATCTGCGGAGGATGAAGATGAGTAGAGGAAGAGGAAAAGGAAGGTAAGGATAACATGAAGTGATGATAACGATTTGGTCTTTAATATTACATCCGTTTTACACCGCTTATTCCTTCTTATTCAAAGGTTTTGAAAATATTTGGCAATTATCAAACTGATAAGAAATATAACTGAATGTTCACTCAATGATCACATTTGCCTTCCATGTCGCTTCACCTAAAAAATATAATGAAATAAATGGTCCACCGGTGCTTCGATGTCAACTTATAACACAGTATTCCTTTCATGTTCCTCCTGCAGATTCCCCCGTCGTAACTCGCATTCTTGCAAGCATATTCAAACAATCCTACTGCAATTCTACACCTTCGATTATTTCCATATGAAATAGATAGTTACTGAAAGAAGGTCAGCACCGATAATTAGAGCATTTCGATAGATGTCCCAACAATTCAACCGATTGATATATCACTGATAATTCCCTCAATCATTTGAAAATCACACAATCATCTCCTCAGGATTTGCTCTCCCAACTTTTGGGAGGAAATTCAAAAATTAGCAAAATGCGAAGACGAAATGACTTTTATCACCAGAGTGAAATAAAAAAAAGCATGAATATACTTTATGAAATTACAAAATTAGTCAAACTAATTTCAGTCTACTAAAAAGCAAACTAAAATTGTGTTTGACCGATTTTGTACATTAAAATATGAGAACTGTGGTTATGAAAACACAAGATCGTAAAATTCCTGAAAAGGCTTGCAATTTTACGAAAATAGATCTAGACATGGAAAATCAACAAATACAACATAGTAAAATCAAATTTATAGGAAACAAAAATTATTATTAGTTCCGCAAAACGAGAAGCATCGAATGAAATCAAAATTTCAATCAATTTAGAAAGCAAAATTTAGCGCCTTACACAAGTAACTGTTATAAAAACAAGGGAATTGTTGCAAAATGTAAAGTTCGCGCTTTCATTAAAACGACACTAGACTTGGAATCAAATTAAAACTCCGTCTCTCACTATTCAGTTTAATTTATCCCAGAAAGTTTTGAATGAGCATTCAAGTCAAATATAGGCAATTAAAACAAATCTGTGCCCGGAATGTTTTGTTCTCCGAAATCATGTTCATTCCAAACTTGAAGCAGTTTGAGTTTCCTGTTTAGTATTTAATGTATTCATCACAAAAGAAAGAATTACAATTTAAAACGATTTCATATACAAAAATAATGCTTTGAAAAATGTGCGAGTCTTGCGTAACGTCTAGAGTGCATGAACTGACAAAATCTAACCATGACTCTCTATAAATACTGTGAAGTTTAGTAAGTTGCACTAGAAACAAAATGAGAGCACAATTCGAAATCTCGCTCTTCCGTCCATTAACTGCACTACTATCCTTAGCAAAACGTTCTTTTACTTTTATTCAACAAAACAAAACAAAAAACCTCACTAATACAAATTTTAGATGAGTCTAAAGTGCTGCCGCCAGATTATCATAAATTTCTCGCTCGCCTTCGCTCAGTTTATCAAATTTCTTACGCAATCTCTTTTCTCGTTTTTCTGGTTCCAAATCGACATATCTAAAAAGAACTTAAATTTCAAAAGCAGTCACACAAAATAATGAATAACTGAACACAAAACTTGATAAATAGAAGTCAGTTAGCTAACGTTTCTGTCTGACAGAAAACGAGGTTACCACAAGAGCTTTTATAAAGAGAAAATTACGACAACTTCAGTTCCGCTAACATCATTTTTGATCACATGCTACAGAATACTCTTGAATGTAAAATTTAATCTTAACATACTATTAATACGTTTAAATCATAAAATAATTTACTTATTGGCCATACTAATTGCAAAAAGATCGAAGGCAGTTTTCGGTTCTTTCTTCTTAATGGATTTCCTGCTGTTATTTGCTTTTATCCCTTTTGATTTACTGATCTAAACTTGCAATAGCTATTTCAAATTGATCCAAACAATTATTGATCACCAAATATATCAAAGAATTTATTTAATGAATGAAAAAAATGAATGATAATTAAGATGCAAAGTTGAAATCAAACAGTCGATGTGGAACCTGAATAAAAGTGCATTGAAATGAAAATTTTGCTCAAGGACAACAACTTACAGCTTTCTGTGCAATCGAAATTGCATTATCCACATAATTTAGATGTGCTAGCGTTAATTCTTGGTGTGCCTCTCTGAAAAGAAAATATAGAAAGTTGGTAAGTGACAAAGTTGAAAATGCTAAATGGTTCAAAATACAACTACTTGACTGGAATTCAAAAAATTTACTTGTATGCATGTAAATTTGACAAATACTTTTCCATTAACTGTAAAGCTTCCTTCCTTGCTTCTGCTTTATCGGCTGCATTCGATTCATTATTCCAAAATGCGCCCACATTCTAAAAGTACTTTTCTTAAAAATCTTTAAAAAAGACAAACCTAAAACGGTACCTGGAGTCCTTTAGCGATCTATTCGGTAACAATTACGAACCATAAATATCACATTTTTTAGTTTTTCACGCTTCAAGCCAATGGAAACAATTCTCATGTTAGGCGGATCTTTTTGTTGTTATTTAGTTATCCTGTTTTCACACATGAGGCATGCCAAGATATGGTCACTGCACTATATAGCAAAATCTGAACTACTTGTAACAAGCTTATTACAGAATCGAAACTCAATTTTGACAAGATTCCAACACGCTAAATGATGTTCCCTCCTCTCTACTAAGCCAAGCAGCGGCATAAACGCTTATCAGCCGAAGGTTTCAATCATTGCTACTGCAAAAACTTAGGGATACTAGAAAAAAAAAACCAAAAACCGATATTAACATGATAATAAACTAACCGATGAGAACCTGCTGTGTCCTGCTTTTCGCATAAATATTGAAAACGCATTCGGCGGCTTTTTAGGAAATGTCGGATCCATTGTGACACTATGACCTTCCTCCAAGAACGCATGAAGTAGCTTAAATAATCTCAATTTATATCATAAATTTCTCGAAGAAAGGACGCTTTTAGTTCCGCATGTCACATGCAACTAAAAACCTCCGTACCTAAAGGGCACCGTTCAGGCCATTTCCAGAAATCAGAAAGATTTTTTTGAAGAGAGAATACCTTCGTAAAAGAAACCTACTTCAAATTATACTATCCAACTTGGAATTAAAACTGAACAACAAAGTTTCATAGGTAATTTAAGCATTTGCTCATTGCTACTGACACATATAATGCATTATTACTGAATAAAGCTCTACTGCTTCGACCAAAATTATTGGAAATTCAATTAAAATTATAAGAAGTTTACTTCGAGAGCAGTTGGTACAGTCATCGTTGATAATATTGTTGCTTCTTTCAAACACCTGCGTAAATCAGTCTTGAGCATCCTAAAAGTTTCAACGTGTTACTGGTTGCATACGAAATTTTACAATTTTAAACTTTGTTAATGTCATTACTTGTATATCAATAATTCGAAAACAGAAGAGCACTCAGAGTTAAAAGTGGCTAACAACCTCTAATAAGGATAAATACAATTGATGAATAAATATAAATGGAATTAGGCCCATTTTAAAGGTTTTATTTTGTTAAATGATCGCCTTTCCCGACTATTTTAACCCAAGCCATTTATATGTAGGAAAAACATTAACACAAAACCGTAACAATGAATGTCAGAAAAAGCAACTAAAAATGCAAAACAGCAAAATAGCAGAGATTTCAAAATTTACTCTTTTGTTCCTCCTGGCGGCATATCTATATCATCAAAATCATTGAACCCCAGAAACTTTTTTGACAAATTTCTTTTCTTCTGCTGCATTTTCGTTCTTAATTCCTGGAAATTCCTAATGCTTGAATATCCAGAAATTTGAAATGTTGCTTCGCTTAAGAATTTCTTACACTTAACTTGAACTAAGATAAGAGTTGATTAATCATCAGAATCACGAACTTAGAAAATTTACTATCTTCAACAAAGTGTGGCTAAACCTATTTTAGTAATCCATTTCATAATTCTTGAAAAGTGAAGCTTAAACGACAAATACATGGCGAATTTCGACTTCAGGAAATGAATTCCATAATAGAATTCAAAAAGCAGATGTATATACCTGGACAATTTTTGCAATTTGACTGGGAGAAAAATGAAGATCCACTGAAGACGACTGAGCTATTTCTATATCATCACTAGCATCCGATGTTGACTGAAAAAAACCACGTGAAACATCGATTTTATCCTCTCTTCAATGTTTTTTTTTCCTAGAATATCCTAATTCTCGCTGAGGAAACAAAGATACCGCAATATCTGAAAATATATATAACTATAAACGAAATAAAGCTATTTCAGTACTATGTAACGCTTGATTACTTGTTACTCAGTAATCAAGTAGTAAAAGAGTAAGTAAAACCTACCTCCTTGACAATTTTCTTCCGTACCTTCGATTCCTTTGGAACAGCGATTGATCCCGAGACTTTTCTTTTATTACTATTTCGATTCATATTATTATGCAATGGTGAAACAATATCGTGCCATTCCGCAATGCTATCTGATACATCCATTAACTATATTAACGCTATAAAGGTTAAATAAGTTACTGAACACATAAGTATGGAATATATGACAAATAAATTGACAATTTAAAAGTCATAAATGGTTAGTCGAATAGCTGACATGCAATAAAAAACGTAAGTAATTACGAGACACTAAATTTCGTCTGCTCCAAGCAGAAAATGAATTCGGGACTGAATACAATACTTTCAGAGGGAACTCACAAATTATTCAAAATATAGCTTTTCATTCTTTGATTTACTCAAAATTTCTCATGAATCCCGCTATTCTTTTTACAAACTAATCGAACCGAATCTTTTATTTCTATACGAAGGATTTAAGTGAATTTATTGATAATCTCGTACAAAAGGCAAACATAACACAATAACGTAACACCACGCCGAAAACGCACAAAATATTAACCGCTCTTCCGCAAGCACCTAAAATGGTCAAATTTTCACGGATTGCTTATGGTCCATTAAATCCCAGGATGCGGTTGTACATGTGTATATATGTATATGCATACATATGTATACATTTGTGTGTATGTATGTGAATGTGTAGATGGTTGTCTGGATGTCCCATAATTCATACACTAATTTAATAGGTCTTTATCACCCTTAATGATTTGTTTCCTCTTGTATCGAATTGACATTAACTTGGATAAGGTTTAAACTTGCAGGAGATTATCTGGAGGAAGCTATAGTGCTGTTAATTATCTTTCCAATTGTTTTATTTAACAGAACTATTCTGAATAGTTACATGAAAAACTCACTAGCCTGGTATTCCACAATTCATCTCTCTAATGCTAATGGATATGATCGATTTCCTGTTTTTAATTTCTGAAGTAATGTAACTATTTGAAGACATTTTGATTTAAATTATTAAAAAGACATTTTAAGTAGTTAAAGCTGATAGATTAACAGATCTCTACAGTTTTGTTCGACATCTGTTTGTCCAATTTACGTGAGGATTACACGTACGTGAAGTTAATGTTTTCAATTTAACTGAAATAACTTACTCCAACTAGTACCAAATATTTTTGAAATATAATGGAAGAAAAGATGAAAGGGAAACCAAAATTTATATTTATTGTTTTAGTTTATAAAGTGGAATATCTCAGGATTTATGAGGTGGCTATTCGGTATTAGTATTAATTGATTATTAATTTCAAGAGTTGCTTATTAATATACTCTTTTGCTTATTAAAGCTAATTTTTGTTTAAAGCAAAATTGCTTTTAAAGCTTATTAATGTAGTTTATAAAATTCAACGTCAAATTAGACATATTGATCCTTTTTTCTTCCTTGATACGAATAACTAAAGAAACAGGGATTGAGTAGAAGATTCAAATGATGTATGGCAATGCAAAACTTCGAAAATGCAACTGTCCTGAATGACCTGAACATCTGTATCACTTCTTATTTTTCGTTGTCATCTTTGAAAACAATCAAAGAATCCAATGTTGACCAGTAGATGATGAAGCATCATAAATTGGCCAAACAAATCGCAAAATCACTTGTAAAACATCGGGCAGCTTGAGATAACACATTTGTACAATTGTTGCATTAAATTATATTGCGCCCAAAGCAGATGGCCAATTCCTCATCGGCTCAATCATCCGTCCTTCACTTAGATTTACCCTTTTAACCGTCTTCATTTTAGCGCTGATTGCTATAGTTTAGTTACTGATAGAGAGACAGCTGCAGACAAATAAATAGGTATACAACTGTCGTTAGATTTATATCATGCAGTTCACCTTCATCAACATCATAAATCAATGAATTTATTGCATAATAATTGATTGTATTGATCATTTAATGGAAGATATGGATCAGATCGGATCACTATATCAATATATTCATTTGAAAAAGTTGACGAAAAAATGACTAATTTCAAGTTTAATGATACTATTTTAATCGATTTCTGCTATATTTGGACATTGCATTGGTGATAGTTGCGATAATTTCTCTTCTTGTTATTATCATCATTGTTAAACTTGAAGTTCTTTCTTTTTTCCAATTTCTGCCCAATTTCAGCTTTCAATTTAATCCAAAAATGAGTGAACTTGTCAAATTTGACACTATTGGAAATGATTAAAATGAACATATTTGAAGACATTTAATCCAGAATGTTCAACATGCAATACGGTTAATGTAAACATTTTCCTTACTTTATCTCCGGAATCGTTCCTGATCCTATTGCGTTTCAACTATCATAGCAATACTTGGTGTAGTTTTATCCTATGTCAATGACGTTATGAAGCAAGCATTTGATTTCAATTAATCAATTGATCAAATCTTTTAAATCAACCAGAATTATTTTTGGGTTTTCAAACGCTGATGTCAATGAGATAAATATGTATAATAGTTATGATTAAATTTAAAGAGACAAAGAAACTTCACTTAATTTTTACATTTTTAGAAAATAAATATCGCAAACTTTTGGGATTTCTCCTTCAATATTCATTAATATAAACGGCTATTTTTCATATCTTCAAAATTGAGAAATTTTTCGAAAATTTAATTTTGAATAATTAGCAACTCAACGGTTCGTTATTGTTTCCCCATTAATATTTGTATATTTGAATTGTAAATACATTATCGAATTAATTTTGAGTTAACAAATTTACAACTATATGGAATTTGTACAACGGAATGAAAAATCAATCCAACAGATCATAAATATTTCCATCTAATTGCTTCTTTACGAAATATCATTAAGCAACTTGTTTGTTACTCAATTTATTTGTTGCTCTTTATTTTTCTAGGAAAAATATTTTTCTAATTATAAAAGTGCCAACATTAAAAATAATCACAATGTAAGCGGAACACTTATCATTAATTAATCAAATGTTATCTGTAATCAGGCAATTATCATCACAATGATACATCTGTTTTACGCATACAATTATTGTTTGAAAATGTATGACCTGTCGTTAATAATATAAAATGTATATGGCTGAGCATAACTTTTGCAACATATGATACTTGACTTAACACGAATGGTTTGTTACATTTACTTCACCCTATGCTTGAAAATTTTCCATAGTATTATTTTAATAAAAATTGATGAATATATAAACGAAAGGAGAAGAAGAGAGATATTAATGGATATTGAAGTAAAAAGAAATGTAATTATTTTGAGAAATTTTAAAAGAAGCGAAAGAGAAATTTGAAAATATGATATATTATAGATTGAAAGTGAATAAATAATAATAATAAGCAAATATTATTTCATATCATTTCGACAACTGTGGGTGGCATTTTGATAGTTAATAATTAAATAATTAATACACAAATTAAGATTTCCATTTCTTTTGACTATATTTCTGGACTATATTTCGAGTGACTATATTTGTGGAAGCTTATTTTGTCATCTAACTTTGTGATTGGGATTGAAATAGTTTTTCAATATTTCAAAACGGATGCTAGAAAAAATATGATCTAAAAGCATTAAGGTTTCTTATCAATAAGATGTCAATATCTGTCATTTTTCATGACACACAATAATGAATTTATTTAAGATTGCACTAATCAATTTTAACCAATTAGCAATAATAGCAAACGAAATTGTGATCACACTTTCAGCTCTCGAAATATTATCCTTAAAATTACAATTCCTTTGAATCAAGCTATGATATATATTTTGTTAAGTGAATCTAGACTAAGTTTTCCTACGAATTATTGTTGTCATTATCTTTTATCACTGTTATTGTCATTATCGCCATTACTGTTGCTATTAATAATCTATTATTACTATTATTACGATTGTTATTACTATTATTATTATTGTTATCATTATTATTATCATTATCTTTTACCATTATCAATCTTGTTATTATCAGTATCATCATCATTATTAATCACCTGATCATTATTATTATTAAAATTTGTCTGATTATTAAAATTTGTTAATTTATTTGCAGAGTTAGATTTGCTTTTTGGATTATTTAATAATGAAAAGAATGCTTCAAATCAAGTCAATCATTTATTAAATAAGCAATTACCCTATCTGTTCCAATACTTGACATTGATATCATAGTGTATCCAGGAATTCTGGGACAATAAGTGGCACCTCTTCATCATTCTTCATCTTAACGATGACAGTACCACTTCAAATATCACAGGTGCGGGGCGGAGTCGTCTTTTGCAATGTGCGGATGATCATTGCCGTATCGCTCTCTATCGTCATCATGGTTTAGCATCATCGAAAAGGAAGAGGTGGTACTTTGTTTCCTTATTCAGCCAAACATCCAACAATTTTGCTTGCTACTTTTCATTCCTCTCTGATTGTTGAAATTATTATCATTTTTGGTTTTTTAATATTTCAGGAGTATTACTTATCAATAACGCTTGCTAATGTTATCAACGAACAATTGTTGGATTTTTTCCCTGATCACTTTCATACTGTCTACGGTATAACTTTTTCCATTCTTTTATTATTTAATCAAGAATTTAAGCAATTTATCATTAATCAACACATGTTCAAGTAATTATAGTAAATATCTGATAAGTGAATATTTGTAGCATTTCAATGTTATTCTTATAGTTGAATACATTCTTACCTTCTTACCATTAATTAATCTGATTCCAATGTACTTCGAATTAAACAAAAACAAAAAATATGCATTTAAAAAAAGCAACATAGAGAAATAATACTTATAAGTAGGCAACTAATAATAATATGCCATATTATGGATTACAATTTTTTAGTTATTATTAGTTTATTTCTACCCTTGAAAAAATTTTGAATTTAAAATAGATTAAACTCAAGAGCGATGGAAATATCAAAAATGTTTACTTCTAATGTCAAAGTTCAAAGTGATGGAATTATTTTTATTTACATTCTTTCTTCAACTTTGATGACAAAATTAGTTTTAAACACCTAAAAATTATAACATAAACGATGTTATAATTGAGAAATTAAACAATATTATTTAATTTCATTTACTTCTCCGATATTTTGGATGAAATAAATTAATTGGTTGCTAATAAGTATTATTATTCTATATTGTTTTTTTCTAAATGCATATTCTTTGTTTTTGTTTAATTGATCTAATTGGAATTATTTAAGAAAATCAACTTGTATTGCCTTGAAAAAAATGAATTGATAATAAAGCTAAGAATTTACTGACTTTCCTCAAAGGTACACAATTCGGAATATAAGGTCAATTCTAATGATTATAATGAATATGTTAATCAATTCTACATATATTACAAAGTTCATGAAGGTAAAAAAGTTTTGTTTGAAATGAATTAAATGGAATGATTTGCTCATATTTTCCTATATCATTTGCAATTTACTCTATAATTTCATAACTTCTATTAAGATTTTATAAATAATTAAAACTTTATTAGATGGAAATAGGCAATTTAAAGAAATCGATAATTTGTGAATTTATTATTTCTCAATAAGAATTTCATATTCTTTATCCTATTTGAAGTAGCATTCTCTTTTTATGCTTCCTTTTTAAAATTTTTAATTATAACATCATTAATATTCTTTTCTTATTGATATTCATCATCATCATCATCATTAATTATCTTATTATAATGTTTCAAAAATTTCTTCGCTAAAATTGAAATATTTAAATTTTAAACTCATAATTTCTCTCAAATTACTATTGATTAATAATTTGATTTTAATTAATGAGTTTTTGATGATAATTCAGAATAGTATCTCGTAATTAGAAAATCCATCCTTTACTGTTTTAGCTTTAGCGAAGAAGTTCTGAAACATTATCAAGTACTTCGATGAAGTATTTTGATGATACTCCATCGGATCATTTGTTCATAAAAAAAACCATAACAAAAGTTCTGCTATGTAAAGAGAAGACGATCAACAACGAAAAATTTTCTGCCATATCTTATCAATCTATCCAACAAATGTCATTTTCAAGTATTTTCTGCATGACATTCTAATATCATCGTTCTTTCTCTAAGAAAATTTTCTTCACCTTTTTTTTTTTCCTATAAAATCCATTCTTTTTCAAAATTAATTAACGATCGGATAAAATTCCATTTTGCCAACATTGTTTTTAGATGTAAAACTAAGAATTATTTTAAATAAATTCTAATTTTTAAAAATTTCAAAATTTTTTCACCGCTCATTACAATTTTTAAATTTGCATGAAAATGTTTCATTGATTTGGTAATTTTTGCCTTTTATGTTTAAATTAATGAAATATAATTTCATTTAAAATTAATTTTTTTTTGGATGGCATCATTTGTGAAGGAATTACCGTAACCAATGATTAATCATGTAAAGCCGTAAAATCCATGTTTATACAACAATTTACTGTTGCTATCGCTTCTCTTATCTGTCCAAATTCTTTTTATTTATTATATCATTTTTTGTTTTTAAGTCGATTAATCTTAGCGGTGTATACTTTTTATCATTTCCACTTAATCTTACCATCCAAAAACTTTTATTTCTACCGATAATTAGCGGCAAAAAAAAAATGTTTTTCGAACTTAAGATTATTTCACATATTGATTTCATTTCATTTTAATTTCTTGATTTATATCAGATGTTTAATTCTGGTCATATCGAATATTAAATTTCTTGAATAATTTTCTAAACGATTTAATTGATGCTTTTTAATAATTTTGAAAATTTTGCAAAGTTTTACAAATTTCGAAAATTATGAATTAAATGTTGGTAATTTTGCTANAATTCTGGTCATATCGAATATTAAATTTCTTGAATAATTTTCTAAACGATTTAATTGATGCTTTTTAATAATTTTGAAAATTTTGCAAAGTTTTACAAATTTCGAAAATTATGAATTAAATGTTGGTAATTTTGCTATTGTTTTATCTTAACTAATTTATTAGCAAGATTAACTGTTTGCAAAATTTTTTACTATTTGCCATGATCACTATCACTATCTCACTTTTATATGCAAATCCACTCATTTAAAAATTTCTTTAAAAATTAAAAAAAAAGATCTTTCATATCAATCCGAATCATTTTTAATTTTGTTCTTTTCCCTCTTTCTCTCTCTGTCTCTGTCTCTTTTTTTCTAATTTGTTGTATGCATGTTTTTCTGCAGTTCCATCAAAATTAAAATTTAATTTTAAAAAAAATTTTAATTATTTTTTGTATTTATAAAAGTTGCAAAGAACGAATTGATCATTATGTACTTCAAGCAATTTCATTATTACTTCTGTAATGTCAACAAATGATATCATTCATTTGATTCATATCTCCGACGTATATTACGAAAGATACTTAACGACGCGTGCCCTTAACATATGTTTTTACACCTTCAAGTACCTGTACTTAACTTACAATATACTTAATCCGTTGTATTATTATACCACAACAACATATTCATCACTCTCCTTCATTCATCTTTTCAATAACAGTTTGAATAGAGAGGTCAAAGGCTAATAATTATAGCACACACTGGAACTTTTGGAATATTTTAATTTTAGTTGAAATACAAATAAGAAATAATCAAATAAAAAAATTAATCAATTCTATGCACGCAAAAGAGATGCTTGTAAAGGTAAGTTAAAAACTAATTGTTTCACGCTTACAAATAAATGGCCAAATTTAATTCAAATTAATTTCTCTATTAGCCATAAATTTAGCTCCATCATAATTAACTAAGAGAATACAACACGTAGTACAATCTACTAAAAGAATACAACACGTAGTACACATAGTACACATAGTACATTTCCTGAACCATTATACTTAGCATTCTCCTTATCATGATTTATGATAAATTTAATATTATCATTTTACTAGAAGTCTTTTTTTCAATTTTGCAACAAATAATTAAAGGAATATGTGGATGGCAATTTAACAACATAAAAATGAAACATTTCTTTTCAGACTGAACTTATCGATAGTTCAGGTTTTGTAACTTTTACGCTAAATGACTTTCATTTTGATAAAGCCCAAGGATACGGAATTTGTTGTTCGGCAGGTAATAAATTTCAATTTGTTTCCAAATTAATAATTTAAACATTTTTTTTCATGGATTATATATAAAACTTTAAAAGAAATATAAATGTTAAATGAACGAAAGTAATTATCAGATTGAATCAATAAATGCACATCCAAGCATTTCTGTGTTCTCATCAAATGCGTAATATTTTGGTGATTATGAGTAATTTTCCGCATAAAATATTTATATGCTGATAATTTGATTGATAATCAGTTAATTTCAGATCATGCCGAAAAGGAATGTCACTGTCAAATGTATATTCACATTTGTGTTGGTGTTGGATTCGAGCATCGAAAGTACCATCGTGATTGCTCCTTACTACATCACAATTCTCGGGTTATCGATAATACACGACCGTTAAGTAATTACAATGTTAGCATACCATTTGATGTTCGATGGCCTGTGAAGGTTTGCAAAAATTTTTTGAAATTTCATTTTTATATTGTATAGACTACTTTTAAACACAATTAGCGCTTATTTTTTAAATCATTTAATTTGAAGTATATTGATGGGCTATCTTTGGTGCAATTCGTTTTTAGTTTCGGTACCACTGGCACCATTTACTTGCTATATCGTCTGATTATCTGCAATTACCAACACCTCATCGTTGCTTCGAGCATTTAAAAAAAGCGACATCTTTTTTTACACTGTTTCAAAAAAATGAAAAATTTTACAATGTCCACATATCGAACGTGGGAATATGAAAATGTTCTGCAAGAGAAATTACTTTACTCATTGAATTCCCATTGCTTGTCAACATTACCATCGGAAGTTATAAATCAAATTTAAAAAAAAAAACTTTTTTTCTTATTATTATAATTATAAATACAATTATAATTTCAATCTTTACTCGTACTCTCTTTAAAAATATCTTTACAACAAGAATTATATCATGATTATAATTAAATTAATATTTGTAATCATTATAATATAATAATTAATCCTGAAAATTAAGGGAATAATTTTTATGGATCAATACATACCATTATTGCTTTATGATTGATCATACGTTGTAAATTTTATTTTCAATTTCTTTTCAATCCGAAATCATATTTTCGGTATTTCATTTCATATGATTCTATCTTCATTCAATCGAAGGATTCATTTTTGAAATTTTCACTCGTAACAAATGCAGTCCATCTAAGTAATAATAATCTTATCTCAAAATCATTCCAATTAATCAAAATCATATATATTATCCAGTTGCCGACATATGTTTGACAGTTTTCCTCAATCCATTTATGATGATCGCCATTGTTTAACAATTCTATTGAATATATTCGTCAACAATGATACATATTATTTTGTATAAAAAACTTTCATTGCTGATCATAGAATGAAATTGCAATTGTTAACCATTTTGAATAATATTATAATAACAAATGATGTCTACTGCTATTTACGATTACTTAATTTGATTAGTATAATTAAATTAAGTTAAGAATAATTATTCATATTATAATAGCGATACATATGTAATGTTTCTGCTGATAACATACATCTACATACACGAAATATATCATCATATTGATACAGTTCAAAAAAAACGAATTAATCAATGAGAAGTCATAATGAGAAGAAGGATGATCAGATAAAATTCTCATTTTTTTACAGTTCATTTTTTCCCCCAAAACTACAAACGAGCTGTTTCGTTTTTTGTCGTCTACCTTTAGTTATGCCGATGATTGCGGTATTAATGATTTCTGCATTTTTTCTTCTCCCTCCTTTTCGATTTTTTTTAAAATCATTTCCGGGTTTATCGTCCGCATAGAGAAGCCAATTTTTCAATGTCTTGCTTTTCACCGCCCTTGTTTTTCACAACTCGTCGCTTCTATCTAATTTGTTAGTCGTCATCGGGTATATCAACGGATCTTGTTTGCTAATACTGAATCAACAACGATCCTTTCCTTTCCGATTTCTCATCAAATTTCTTTTTTTTTCTTCCATCATCTCCTCGCCACCTATCAGAAATTAGAGGGATTTTTGAATAAATTATTTAGAATGCAAGCAAATTAATATTTGACGAATTATTTCATAACTGTAGAAATATTGTTGCAAAAATCAAATGACAACATTTTAATCTAACAGATATATTTTTGCAATAAAAAAAATTTCATGACAGTGGAAATTTTTTGATTGAGCAAAGAAATATTAAAGGTAACAATAATAAATGATCAATGCTAAACTTAAACAAAGTAAAATTTGGATGATAATTTTTGCTTAATTTAAATTCGTTTTTTTCTTTTCTCTTTCAAATTCAATCTTACAATAAACGAATATGTTTTAGCATTTGAATGGTTCAAAAGTTAATTTTAATTTTTAAGGCTTCTAAGATAAAACTAAAACTGTATGATATTAATGTAAGAAGAAATCTTTACCAATTAAAATAAACAATTCAATATCTTCGTTTTCATTTTTTTGGATTTCTTATTAAGCAGTCTTTTTTGTTTTCAATAATTAAAGTGAAGTAAAGGCTTTTCGCTCCTTTTTTTTGAGTGAACAATTAAAAATTAATCCATTCAAATTTCGAAAAAAGAAAGAAACCCTCCGAAAATCGAGGAAAGACTGTCAGAAGGATTGAATGAGAAGAAGGTAAAGGATATGAGGAAGATGTCCTTTATCGACTTTGTGGTGCCGAAAATTGCAATGTACTTCAGTTGAGCACCTGTACCATTCTATAACTCATTAAACTATGGGTACATTAATGGGAAGAGGAAAAAATGACCATAAAATCATTCAGATTTTTTTCCCTCTTTTTTTCAAAAATTTCATAATTGTTAGAAATAGTAATTTAGTTCAGAAATTACTTTTTCAGTATTAAATTTTAGTAAAATAAAAATTTGTTAACCTAAACTGTTTTAAAAAATACCATTTAGCATTTCTTCAAACTAACTATTTGTCTTATTGATTATATTAGAATAAGGTGCCATATTGTCGGGTCAGCTAATGGCCGACAAGGGTCATCCACATTTCAAATCATCTTCATAGTAATGGTATTTTGAATATGGCATCATCTTAATTGGTCCAATTTAAGGATAATTAACTGTAATTTACTGTTGTGTATTAATTGGAAAAACAATCACTCATAACATCCAATGAATGTGTTTGCATACACAACCTTAATGATTAGAAATGAGGTGAAGGAATAATTGAGCAGATGGAAGATCGCAATATTACTCTCTCCTCGTTGTATGTATTAGTCTGTTTGCATAAAATGTAATCTGTACGCTTGCCTATAAGCAGCTTTTCATTTTTAAACAAATCCAATTCTTTCCATCTGATTTTTCGAGAATAAAATTGCACCAAAAACAATGTCGAAATGAGGGGGTGTAAAGTGAAGTTTACGGTATTTCATTTTTCATTTTATTTACAGCTTTTGTTGGAGAAGAATAGGAAAAACTGATAAAAAGAAAATGTCAACTTTATAAATTTAAATTTTATTAGAGGCAGTTTTTCAATATTCATTGTAGAATTAATAAATTAAAAAAAAACTCTTTTAAACAAAATAAATTTTTGCAAAATTAAATGAACAGAATAGGAGTTGAATAATTTCTATGAAGTAAATAGGATGGTTGTTGTTATCAACTATCTGAGTATATACCATTTCACGAGATGGCAGTTTGAGTATATAATGGGAATTGAAAAATCAAAAATGGAATAAAATTGGAACTGAGAGTAAAATCCGAATTTTACACGTCTTCTTATAATTAATTAGCAACACTAGAAAGATTCGCACTAAGAATTTTAAGAAATTACGGTATTGATAATAGAAATGTTAATTATGGGATAAAAATTTTTCTCTTAATATTAATGTTTTTTATTTTTCTTATTTTCGTCATTTCATTTTTAAAAAATTTTCGATAAAAGATTTTTTGGTTTTTTCCTTAAATGGGCAACGATTACAACAACAATACAGTATTTTAAAATGCTAATTAAGTGATGATACTTTGTTAAACTTACAGGTGTCACATAGTGAGGAAATTTTTCAATTTATTTCAATGAAAAAAAAAAAAGGAATTCAAATTTTGCATATTTCTGTAACAAAACATTTTCTTAGTGCAATAATAAAGAACACGTGCGATAAACAATTCATTTAATAGGCCTCTTTTTTTTAGGAAAAATTCTTTTTTCTTTTATTTTGTCTATTCATCCGAATCAAATGCATGACTTGCATCTTTGTTGCATGCAAATTTGCAACAGCTGCAGTTTGAACAAAAATTTGGAATAAAGGCAGTTCTTGTAATAATAGTAATAGTAATTTTATATACATTGTGTGAAAGATTTTCATTACTTTTTTTTAAGAAAAACAATTTACAATTATTTAATAGTTAGTTTGATAGAAAGGAAAGATTTATCAATAAATCCTTAAACACTTATATAAAATATCAAGTATATTTAATAGAAAAAAAGTTAATTACCATTATCGAATGTAGTTTTAAGATAACATATAGCAATACAAAGCATATGATGATGTATTACTGCGATACTGCAGTGCAATGGCATAATTGATATGTATGATTAATGTATGCATACATTAGGTATTCAATTAACGTTTATGAACATACCTGCATATTTTTTCGTATGAAGAATTCAAAATATTTTAGTAGATTTTTTTATTTGAAAAATGGAAGTTAATTGATTTATTGATTTCTTATCTAATAACAATCCATTTTTTTTTGCATTTCAATACCTCTAACAAAAATTAAGAAAATTAAAAAAGCAGGTGCATTTATAGGTGTAAAAATATATTATAACAAAAAGGGAAATCGTCCAGACGGTATGTTACAGCTGCTGTCAACAATGCAATCGTATTGAAAAGCGTTTTCAAAGATTGAACAAGTTGTCAAGATGAATAAATTTTCGCGATTGTAAAAATTGTTTAGTATAATGAAATAAATAATTTCGAACAAAAGAATTTCAATTTATTCATTAATAATCCATTCTTCACTCTAAACTATATTCTTTTATTTTTATAAAAGGCTATCCGTTTCAGGTAAATTTCCAAATATAAATTCATCCACAATTGATTTATATCAGATTTAAGCATAAAACTGAATAAAATATTTTCCACTTTAATAGTAATAATAAATGAATATTATATAAGAAATAAGTATGAAATGAGAAAGAAAGAAAGTTAATAATTTCTTATTTCAAATAGCAACAATCACTTTCCCACTAAGTTTTACAAATTACTGTCATTTATCTCTTTTTTCCTTTACCCCAATTTAATGAAACGAAGCAATGAATTATTTCGTTTTTTTTTGAAATGGATATTAAGAAATTAAATTTCTCACATCGATCATTTCTTATCATTAAATTCAAAGAAGAAAAATTGAATAGATATTAGTTTATTGAAATTTTATTTAAATTATTTTTAATCTTTATTAATAATTCCATCAGTTCTTGTTTTAACACAATCTTATATTTACTAATTTACTGCAATTTCTGCAATGATATCATTTTAAATTATTATAAGTTCATTATTATAAGTTTAGTTTCTTCCCAATCTTGGTACTTTCTGTTTCATTTATATTAAATTTTCAATGAATTTTCAATTATTTTATTTTTGAAATAGACTAAAATTTGGCATAAGAAGTAATTTGCTGAAGATTAGAATCCAATAAGTGAAAATAGTCCGGATCAGGTGGTAAAATATAGTTTTATCATGTTGAAGGATTCGGTTAGATAAACGTAGATGAACAAAGAAACTGGACATCTGCCTGAATACACCAAATTACCGGATAATAATTGCCGATACATTTAATTTTTTTCAATGTAAATGTATTACGTCATGATCAGCAATCTTACAGCTTGCATCATTTATTAGCTTATGCTACATATTAAATAATATGAGAGATAAAAACTGTTGTAATTAATGTAAGATGAAAAATTCGGAACAGGAATTACCGATACAGAACTGTTAAGCATGCAAATTCTACTTTTGTCAACTAATTATTCAAATACTATTCACTTCCTAACTTTTTCTTCTTCGAGAATTTGCTTGAACTTATAATTTTTCATTTAAATGAATTATTAAATGACTAAAACAATTTATTCATTAAATAAATGATGTATAATTCAGAGTTACAAATATCAAACAGCAAAATAATGAAAATTTTAATTGAAATTCATTTCATTTCAAGTTGAACAAAAAATTCTTTTCTACGATTCCTTCGTTTGGAATTCAGAATTACAGTTCAAATTTTATGATATAAACAACCTTTTATCAATGCAAGTTGCAAAATTGAAAGTTCGGAATTTAATTATTTGATATTACTATTAATGAAATTAATAAAACTTGCATGATCAGAAAAAAAGTTCCATAAATTTTTATTAATTTGTTGTCTTTTATTGCATTTGAATGTGTCAAAAAATTTTTTAAACTAATTTAATGCAATCAAATTATTTTAATTGAAGCACGTAATAATAATTTATCAAAATTCTATCCATATCATAGTTTTTTTTATAGACCGTAATGATCTTAATGACAGCAGAAGTGCTAACCATTTGAAAAATCATCTTAATGATAGCAGAAGTGATAACCATTTGAAAAATCATCTTAATGATAGCAGAAGTGCTAACCATTTGAAAAATCATCTTAATGATAGCAGAAGTGATAACCATTTGAAAAATCATCTTAATGATAGCAGAAGTGATAACCATTTGAAAAATCATCTTAATGATAGCAGAAGTGATAACCATTTGAAAAATCATCTTAATGATAGCAGAAATGATAATCATTTGAAAAAAAAATGAAAAGTAAGTGATAAAATAAACAATACCATCGTCAATATCAAATTCATTAATCATGATCAATCAAAAACCTTGAAATTTAAAAAAATTTTTCATTTTTCAGAATGTTTCACTTTTGGTTGAGATGCGACATGAACCCAACAAAGCAATTATATTTCGCTCGGAGAATTTCCTTCAATTATCACCATCCAACGACGTAGTGAGAATTACTGAGGTATATCATTCGCTTCATTTATTAATTTTAATTTCCAATTTCCATCATCTTCTGACACTTAAGATTGATTGATCAAAATGATTCAGACTGAAATGTTTCGATAGTTACCTCAATGTTATCTCAATATATTGAAGTATGGTTGGTGCCATATTTTACATAATAAAATACTTCCACATGATATTTCCAATTTAAACCTAAATATGAATTACAGTAAAGATTTTTTATGCAATTTAAATTCGCAAATGCTGGAAATTGATGTAAATTTTTGAATTAAATACGTTGCAAAAATTGTAGGAGAAAGGCAACACAAAAATGGAATATGATGTGAAAGTGGAATGTGGGAAGAATTACTATGGACAGGAATGTGCTATTTTTTGTAATCCAAGCATCGGAAGGTTTACCTATTCATTGCTTTAAGTGCAATTTAATTACCTGCCAACTAATTTGTTCCTATCAATCAAAACTTATTGGATTTTCATAAAAGTTCAACTTCAAATTTTTATATATATTTTAATTTCGTCATTTTAGCTGTTTATTAATCGTTTTTAAATTACAGTTTTCATTTTAAATGTTCACCGGATGGACGACGTTTATGTGAAGATGGTTGGAGTGGACAAAATTGTGATGACCCAATTTGTGCTAATGGATGTATTAATGGATATTGTGTATCACCAGGAATATGCAAGTATGCATAATTCATTCTGATTCTATTTTGTATTTCAGTAGTCAGAAATAAAAATTTTGCTGAGATTTGTTAATTTATATAAAATTAGTGAAATTACTTCTCAGAGTTTTATCATAAAATGTTTCACTTTTTATTCATAGCATTTATTTTGGTTTTATTTTATCCTTCAGCGATATCAATAATGCCTTTCTTAGATAATTAGCTAACTTTTTTAATTATTGATTTATTTTCTAAAATAGAAAATCTTTATTGATATTAAAGCAATTTAATTAGGATATAATCATGAAGAATTATTGCTTTTTTTTTTGAATGACTTAGAGAAAAAATTAATCTGTTAAGATGTCGTAATGGATGGCAAGGTAATAGTTGTGATCGTTGTAAACCACAAGATGGTTGCAAACATGGTTATTGTAGCAAACCTAATGAATGTATTTGCGAGAAAAATTGGGGTGGAACATATTGCGACAGGTGAATTTCAACTATCTGTTTCTTTTTCCTCTCACTTCATTAAACTTTCTTTTATTTAAAAAAAAAATTTAATCCATCAAAAATGGATTATTTTTGAACAAAAGAATTTCTTCCTTTATTATCTTTTTGGTGAATAAATAAATTGATGATTTTCATGTATTTATTATATTATGAATTTCAGAGATTTAGATTATTGCTTTCATAATTCGCCATGTTTGAATGGCGGAAAATGTTCAAGCGGTGGATTGCAAAATTATTACTATTGCAATTGTACGAATGGTTTTAGTGGACAAAATTGTGAAATTAAGGTAATTAATATTTCGGATGATCATTAATGCTTACAGATGGAAGAATCAATTTAATTCATTCGTTTGCAAATAACATACGAATCATTGTAGCTTTGTATAGTAATATTTTGCGCTGCGAAACAATTTTGGAAAGAAAAGAAAATGTGGTAGCCAGAATTCTGATAAATTATTTTACCAATACTTCTAATAAATGGAAAAAAATGTGAAAAGACAAATTAAAATGCGATTTTTTAGTCAGATCCATGTGCTAAAGTAAATTGTGGTAAATATGGTCAATGCAGAGCTTCGTGGAATTCTGAAAGCAAATATCTGTGCTATTGTGATGCGACTCATTACGGCGATCACTGTCAGTATCGTGTGGATCAAGGTAATCCAACAGATGGTATCACTTATTGATATTCAGTAGTTGTTAGATTTTGGATATATATATATATATATATTCATATTAGTTAAACGTGAAAGCTCGAATGTTTTTAAGTTGATAGTGAAATTCCGCACCAAATCGTTCTTAATAAATTTAAATATTATTAAATGAAATTGTATTAGAACCTGATGTTAGCTGTTCACGAAAATAATTATTGACGTTAATTGTGGCTTCTGAACTGAAATCACACTTATGGAGTAACAAGAATATGGTTAATTTTAGGATATCTGTACATTTCAATTTGGAAATTCGAATGTTTTAGAGTCTTGTTTGTTTTCATCTTAAAATTAGAGTATTTATAATTGCAGTTCATTTTCAACGTTCACTTCAACGAGGAAGTTGTAAATTATCAAATTCAGAATACATGTTAGCCGGATTTAGCTGGACTACAGTTGATTGTCGGCATTGTGTATGTCAAGAGGTCAACCAACTTTTATATTTAGTCGTTCCGTTTTCCATCTTTCTATTTCCGTATATTTATGTGAAATATTTAGAAACTTCTGTTGAATTTCAACAATTCCAATGAATATTAGGAACAGAAATACTTCAGGGTGATATCGTATGTTCGGAGAAGAGATGTGAACCACGCGATTGCTCGCATAATGATTCCAATTTAGAAAATTCTCTTGCATGTCCGAAAGATCAGGCATGTGATATATTATTATTCATCGTTGATTATTCCGTTAGTAAACAGAATTAATGCGTACGCTAAAGTGCGAATGGAATATAAGGCTTAACTTCAAAATATTAGGCATATTGAAAGGTCATTTTTTGTATAGTGCAAATTTTTTGATACAATAATAACTTTTAGCACTGTGTTATTGTTACGGAAGATGAATGCCTAAAAGGGAAATGTAATTATCCACGCGGTCGATGTCTTTCTTGGCTTCAAATAAACAGCGAAACAGCACGGCGCAATTGTCATGAACGTTTAAATGCTGATAATCAAAATACACAGGGATGCGCACGAATGTATCTCGAATTTGATATCAATAATCTGTTACCGGTAATTAAATTGTTACGCAATGTTTTTACGTCCTATTTTTTAAATTTTGAAATCCTAAAAGATGTTACAAAAAATTCGCCAATAATTAATTGTCATTATAGTGAAAAAATAATTGAGTTTTACAACTTTTTGAACTTTTTTTTGATTTCTTTTACATTCTCCCATTGTGATTTGAATTTAATAGGGAATTTAATCGAAAAAAACCATTCTGATTTTCTGATTTCAAACTTTTGCAGGGAACAACATCAGGTGATATTTGTTTTCAACTGTTATTAGATGCCAGTGCCGCAAATATCACGCATGTTGGATTTGATTGCAAGTTGATATTTGATAATACAGTGCAAGTAGATGTTGTAAGTATTTTATATTTTTGCTGAAATTAGCTGAATTTATAGAATTTATTTAAGGTTTGTTAATAAGTTACTTCATGACTGAGATTTTACTTTGCACTCTATCTTAAGACCATTTGATATTCTATTTGAGGGATTGGAAGTGAAGCATGATGCAAATGATATTGAAATTACTTCCAATCTCTCAGGAATTGTGATGTATTTAATGAATCTAGCTCAGATTATATTTATTCAAATAGCTGATGAATTTGCATATCAGTGGGCAATGAAATATTTGCCGAATGATTACTTGGAAATTTTAAACTTACACAATATAATTGGAAATTAATTAAAAATCAATTCATACATTTCATTTCGAAGTTTTGAAAATATTTTAAACTCTTTCTTTTTTTTCAATTGTTTATCTCTAGATCTCATTACAACAACTCCTAACGGACGTTATGACGATAAAAGATTTCCTGAAGAATCGCATTCTCAGTCATTCAACCGCCAGTCATATACTAGCTGCAGTTGTCCGGATCAAAGAAAATGGTAATAGTGATGACAAGGAACATCCAATGTTGAATGCTGTTTTAACACTTCGGAATTCTGGTTCGTATTTAAAGATTTGTTGCTCTATTTACTCCGTTGAAGAAGATTTGCAAAAAGAGCAAATTTCTTGTTAAAATCAGATTGAAAATTAAAATTCAGATATTTACAGAATTTATTTAAGGCTTGTTAATTTAGGATTGCCATTTTATTTATTATATCTATAAGATTATTTGATATTCTATTTTATTACATTTTTTAATAAACTATTTCTTAAGCTTTTCATATTTTAGCTTTCTGTTTCAGCGATATCACCGACAACTGAATTCACAATGCTAACAACCAAACAAATGCTTGTCATAATTATTTGCCTTATGTTCCTAATAATTCTTATCCTTCTAAACATTTCCGTCGTGAAGAATCCTAATTTATGTGCTCGCAAACGTTGTGAAGATTCACAGAGCAGCGATAATCTTTTGGAATTGCAAGTGAAGCAACCCACTCAACTTTATACTACGCAGGAAGTAATCAAATTTGAAAAAAGGAAACAAAATATCTTACCGGATGGCATGCATAAAACATGTAACCAGCTGTCTCTAAACTTAATGAAACGTAACTTTTCTTTCTTTTTCATGAATTTTAATTGGAGCAAAAACATTGTGCTTGTTTCCAAAATTATTAATTATATAATAATTATTAAATGATATGTTTCGGCTTCTGTATTAAAAAAGCTGTTTCTTTTTCAAATATTCATCAATTTTGAATTCGGTAAAACAATTAGAAAAAAAATTTAATTTGGATTAAAAGAAATAAATACAATAAATAAATTTGAGTCAAAACTCTTCAGGGCATTCTTCTGCTACGGAATCGTTCGATTCGGGAATTGTTCATGAAGTGGAAGAAAATGAACATAATGCAAGGATTTTGGAACAGCAGCGAATGAAATCGAAATTACGAATTTTAAATGAATCACAATTCGACAATTCCATTTTAAATCCAATACGGTTACAATTAACCGATAATAATGTACAATTGAATGCTTCAAAAAGTTACTATTACTAAATTGAAAAATGTTTGAATAAACGATCGCTTTGTTTCAAATGTATTAATGTAAATATATTAGCATAATAACTATTATATTTCATGGTTATCCTCTTTTACTAATTAGTCTAATTTTTTTTTGATAATTTTACTCTTTATCACTTAACTTTTAACCTTTAATAACAATCATTTACAAGGTTGAAAGGCGTTATTTTGCATTATGGCGCTAACTAAGGTATGAATTATTAAAATTTGGCTGAAAATAAAGATTTTGTAAAGGGTGATGGAAAAGAATTATTCTCATAAAACAATCTATATTATTAACATTAGTATATCTCAGTGTTATCATTTTGTGATTATAATGTTTGGTTTGTATTAAATATTATTTTATGCTTTTTTTTAACCAGAAATTCCTTGCAGTTAGAAATTTAAATTTTTAAATCAAAATTTTCAAACGTGATTTTACATTTCGAACTTTTTTTTATTCTTATGCGGGATTTTTCTCTTTGATTTTGTGTTTTACAGAAAAGCAATCCTTGGAGATTTTCACAGAAATCAATTATATATTTAAATCTTTAAGATTCAATTTAGGATGATTTCAAAATAGAAATTAATTATTGAACAAAAATCGTTTTCCGAAAATTGAAAAGGTGAAAAATTGTTCATTTTTTAGATTGACATTTTTTTTTCTTGAAAAATTTGATTATTTTCTTCATTGTAATAGTAGTCACTCTATTTAATTATTACTTTGTTGACCTTTTCTTCGTTCTTACTGATCGCCGATCGCCATTGAAATTCATAATATATTTCATTCAGTGAAAAATAAATGACCGTATTTGATATGGAAAATGAATTGTGTACTTAATGAAAATGATGATGCAAAAATCAAATCAACCGGTTATGGAATTCATCGAAGAATTCGGAAATTAATTGCGTCAAAGAATTTGGATTTTCATGCAGAATTTCATTTTGCTGAGATTTAAGATTTTTCGCCTTTGTAAATATGCAAATTTATTGAGTATGTTACGTTTGAAGTTCGAAAATTATATCTCTCCAAGTTATTGTGCTATTATTGTTTATCATTTCCTCTTATTTTCATTGCTTACTCTTTGCTTACTTTGTTTATACATAATTAATATTTTGTTTATAGCAATATTATTGCTTCAACAGTTTGTATGCAGCAAAGTAAATATTATTAATTAAAAACTTTTTCTCCCAAGCTTAAGTTGAAACTATTACAGTGCATATGTCTTAATGCAGCAAAAATCTATTTCATTTTTGAAATATTTTAAATAATACTGAAATTTGAATCAGTCAACATTCATCGTTTCTTCCACAAATATCACCTCTCATTCCTATTTTCAGATCCATCATTAAACAATGTGAACTGATTGATAATCAGTTTCTTCAAATGAAATTATTCTATTGTAAGACATTAGTGCCAGTAATGTTAGAGAGAGTAATCATAAGGAAGGTATTGTGCAAACGAAGCAATGAGATGAAAGATTTATTTATTCTGAAATATTTGCCAAATGATCTTATCACAGAAGGTTTAACTCAAAAATTACTTAAAACAAAACATTTGTATCCGCTTTACCGTACTATGTTATTTTTAATTGAAAATTCTCTTGTTTCATTGAGTTTCTTCTTCAACTACTGACTAATTAATTAAAATTAGATGGAAAATGACTAATTACCGTTACCTCGATGCTTTTTGAGGTCAAAATTATTAAATTGAGTTATTTGAAAGCTTAAGAAAAATTAAATCCCTAATGAAAAAAAGAAGTTCCGAATATGTTTCCGAATATGTTTTAGCTGTAACGAATAAATATCCCACTGACTAAAATAAGAAATTTTCATGCAATTTGTTCTTCTGCAATTTACCGATGTGATTTATTCATGGAAATATTTTCACTGATCTCTTTTATCATTTTTGTAATGAACCAACAATATCTCAGATTTTCGAAATGGAGAAAAATACGATGATTGATTAATTTGGAGTGGAACTGAGCACCGTTAAAAATGTATCCGGTTTACCGAACTATGTTATTTTCAACCGAATCATCAATGGAAACCCGAATTTGATTGTAAATTTTAGGTGAAAACACTAAATTTTCAGATTAATGCCATTTGAATGACATATTTTCGGACTACTCACTAATTTTCCGATATTTCGTATTTAAATGTAAAGAAAAGACTGGTCAGGCATACTTCTATCCATATCTCATCAATGAAAAAATTCTATCAACTGAATTGAATATGGCTTAAGATTTCAGGATGAAAAATTCTATTTCCATATCTACTTGTCGCTGAAACTAACACTGAAATATTTTTCCTGAAATTTTAAGCCATATTCCGTTCAGTTTATCCTTCTGTTATCAGAACAAATGATATTTTGAAATAACATGACTGAAATGTATTCTTGCGCTGCTTCTTTTAAATATTTATACAACATTTACAGGAGGTGGTTCTTTTTGGATCTTTTGTGAATAAAGTCTGAAATGAAAAAGTTCCTGCTATGCCTTATCGTTTGCAACGTTATGAATGGCGTCCATAGCAAAAGTAAGTAATTGTTTGAATTAATTATTGTTAATTACATGCTACCCCTGTGATAATTTTTCTCAATGATTCCAGTTTTCAGTTGAGAATTTGCATTTTATCTCATTTTTCAACTAAAAATATTGCCACTACCATATTTTGTTTAATTATCGTAAGTGTAGTATTCCCGCGATTTATTATCTCTGAGATCATATTGATAGACTGCACATAATTCTTTCCATCATCATTTGACACTATAATATTGATTGAGGTCTTTTCGTAGTTTTCATTGAAGCAAACTGGTAATAATTAAAATTTGTTTTTTGTTGTGAAAAAAAGCATTCATTCCATCGATAAAAATCATGAGGTTTAAAAAAGTGCGACATATTCAGCTTTCGTAATACCAAAACAATCAATCACCGATCGTTAAATTATCTGTGACATAACATAGCTTAGAAAGAAATTAATGTATTCTACATTAATTAAATTAATGTAGATGGTTAGCGATAAAACATAAAATATAAGGCTCGAAAAACAAAATTGAACTTCATGAAAGAATCTTTTTATACTTTCCTATATGAGTTCATTTTGAATTCACTTAAAGGTTTCATTTCATTTATGAATTTTATTTCTTTCTAGCAATTCAACGGTGAAATTTCATTTTTTATCGACCGTTAATTATGACATATAGTAACTTCACTTAGAACAATATATCAAATACTGCGTTCAAATGTGCAAATGTTCAAGTTTTAAGTTTATTTTCAATGAATTATATTATGAGATTTGAGAGTTGTATCTTTCTTCGATAAATATTTCTTAGGATTTCATTCAGAAAAACGTTCATAACCTTTTCAGGTTGTAAGCGGCAGAAAGATTGCAATACTGATCAAATTTGTGAAGAAGATGAATGTATTCCGGATTTACAGTCGATACTAGCAATGAAAGAAACAGAAAAGCAATCTTCATGTGAATTATTCAAAATGAATTGCTGCAAACATACGAATTTTAATCATGACAAAGTTTTCTAATTTTATAGAAATATGTTAGAAGTTTTTATCCTGTTTCAATAAGCAAATAAGGTAATTTGAAAAAGTTTCATATTTAAATTCTATTTTTTAAACAGTTTGCGGGAAGCGATTACCTAAAAATTTTGGATCTCTGGCGACTATGGGTAATTTCGAGGGACCCATTGCTTCACCGTTCAAATTAAAACCAATGAAATCTAATGCAACATAAAAGATTGCATATTTAGCAACGGATGCAACAACATCTCAAACACTGGAGATGACAACATCTGATGAACCATACGAAACAACATCTGATGCACCATACGAGACAATATCTCAAACACTGCAGGTGACAACATCTGAGGCAACATCTCAAACACCGGAGGTGACAACATCTGAGACTACATCTCAAACACCGGAGGTGGCCACATCTGAGACTACATCTCAAACACCGGAGGTGACAACATCTGAGACTACATCTCAAACACCGGAACTGACAACATCTGAGACAACATCTCAAACACTGGAGATGACAACATCTGAGACAACATCTCAAACACTGGAGATGACAACATCTGAAGTACTATACGAGACAACATCTGAGGAATCAAAAGTAGCATCAGTTGATGCAGTGAATAAGGGTACAATTGCTGATTCTTTTTTATCAAACTCAGAAAAAAATCTTCGACTTTAGAAAGTAACGTTTTATGAAATAAATAAGATTAGTCGTTTGTAAGTTTCACTGATTATTTATTTTAAGTTTTATTTTTTGATAACCTTAAATATTTCAAGCGAATATTATTCTGAGGAACGTTGTTTTGAATATTGTTTCTTATATGAATTTGTTTTGGTTTGGCCTTCTGCAACTTGTTGTCATTTTATTTATGGCATAATCATTAGCTGTAATATAACATCCATTTCAGAAACAATATGCCAAATCAATGCGGATTGCAGAAGAAATGAAATTTGTAGAGACAAGAAATGTATTCCCGTGAATTGGCTTCCAAATAATATTGGTAGAATAAAAAGAATTTATTCATTGCTTAAATTGATATAAAATCAAATCTATCAACTTCGATCAACCTGCTCATTTTTTAAATCCTAACAAATTCAGCATTTACTAAATTCAGCATTATTCAGCGTTCGTCACTTTCAGGATGTACAAATGATAGCCAATGTAGCCCTCAACAACTTTGCGCAGTTGATGGATATTGTGTTCTCGATCCATCGTTTCCAAAATTTGGCCCAAGTAAATCAATATTACAAGTAGTGATGGACTTGTTTGTTGGAAGCGATAAAGATAGATTCGAAAGAAATACATTTATGTTCCACTAAAACTGGTGAAATTTAGCATGATAGAAGAATCTTTTTAGGATGTCACACCAGTGCAGATTGCAAAAAATCAGGAGTTTGCCAGAAAGGACGATGTCATATTTCGTATCCTTTTACAAGTAATAAATTGATTAAATTTATGTTATGAAGGATGAAGCAATACTATCCGATCTGTTTTAGTTCTTCAGATATATAAGTAAAGTACTTTAGTGTGCAAAATCAATGAGCAATGCACAATTGATGAGATTTGTGTTATGGGGGGCTACTGCGTTCCGGATCCGCACTCTAGACAGCATGGAATTGGTATGCATGAACTTTTAAATGTGACTAAACATCATTTTTTGGCTTAGTTTTTCTGAAAAATAATACTAGTGAATCTACAAAATAATATTAGTGAGACATGAGATTATTGTCTCAGTAATTCTGCGATCAATATTTATTATTAATTTCTAATTGTTTAAATTTAATGATTGAACTCTGAAACGTGACGCGCAATTACTCATGTCTTTGCATCGTTTCGCACAATTTACTGCGTTTTGCACATTTCCATGGATTAAATTTTTTGTGAGTTAATAATGCGGAAAATTTATTTTAGAACTTTGCGACAATTCATGGTGGCAATTCAAACAAATGTGTTACCTTCCGGTATCATGAAGTGTTCCATTTCTGCTGTTTATTGAAAGTTCAAGAAACCTTTCATAATTTCCATGAAGTCTAAATTCTATTTCGCTGATCGTTTCAGGTACACGGCCGTTTCACTTTTAAGGAAGGATTTGATTATTGTGTTAAAGTCAATGCGAATTTAGTTACAATCAGAGACCCACAGCAAGCAAATTATGTGAATTGTGAGTGATTTTTAATATACAAATTTCAACATAAGTCATAAAGTGATGACATCGTATGAAATTCTAATAGGCAGGAAATCAACACTAAATGGATCGAATTACGGAAATGGTTCGATACGAGATGAATATTTTTCATGAATAATCTATTTTCAAAATCTTTCCGACTTTTTTGATCAAAGTTTTCAGAATCAGAAAAAAATAGAATTACTGAAATTTTCATTCAGTAATTTTCTATTTCAGATATTTATATCGCAGGTGGAGATGGTTCATTTTGGATTGGTTTACTCAAAGACATCAAAGGAAATTTCAAATGGCAAAGCGGTGAATCCGTAAATTACACTAATTGGAATAATGGAGAGCCAGAACCGCGAATAGGATGCGTGATTGCTGATACTCAATATAGTAGGAAATGGTCAATAATCGATTGCGGTGAATTAAAATATCTAGACCAGGGATTTGTTTGCGAGAAGGATGTTCGCAAGATTTAGAATCAACTTCTTCTGTTTGTTAATTTTTTGATTTCTCTTCTTCAAGTAAAATTTCCGAGAAATAACATCTGTTTTCTTTGAAAATTTTTGTTTGTTTTTCAATTCCTAAACATTTATCGTTTGGAATTTGAAATGGTTATATGATATTGCAATATCTTTAACGCTTTTTGGTATATCTCGGGCAATATAGTGCTTTGTATTGCTCCTCGTTGATTATTATTGATGGAAATATTTAAGAGCAATTATCTCATTTTATGAAAAAGAAACAAATGATTGCCTCGCATAATCGCAATTCCTCCATTTACTTTTCTATTATTATAAATTTAAAAATGGATGATAGATTTTGTTATTGAAAATTTAAATCTAATTGAATCGAGAAAAGTTTCACTCAGATATTAAAACGATGGAAGAAATGTTGGATCACTTTGTCTAATTTCACGTCTTTGTCATTCTATCCACCGTGTAGTGTAACAGGTAAATGAAAAGAGATGCATCATCGCCACGTGATGATATATAAAGATGTAATTAAATTAATTATGACCAATACTATTTAATAACGCGTTGTTTTTTTGAATAGGGCTTTCCTTCATCCTCTGAGCATATTATATAACATTTAGGTAACATAAAGAGAAGGATTATATATACCTATTTCTTACTCGTATTACATGAGTTTGAAAAAGATTGGTATAATCATTAAAATTATTAAGAATAAGACAATATCAAGATCGTTAAAATATACCAATTAATTAAATTTAACAGCTGGAAATATAATTGAAAATTGACAATTAAATAACTCAAAATATAGATAATCATATAACTTTCGATGTTTTGAGTTATAAAATTTTTCCTTAATATGCCAACAGGTAAATTCATTCAATTATTTCGAAATAACAAAATGAAAATTATTTTTCCTTCGTCGAGAGCAATTTTTAGTATGTTGAAATTCATCGATTCTAAACTTTTTTTAAAACTACTTTATTAATTAAATAATTTTTAATAATCTCTGGTCTGTTTGTTGTTATATTTCAATAAGTGTCCATCTAATATTCATTTTGATTGATTATTGAGAATCATTTACTGTCAGTTATTAACATTAACGTTGTTCAAACTAATATTTCATCAGTTATTATATTTCAACAATCTTCTATTTGTTTCATACGAAAAATAATGTTTGATAATATGTCGTAAAATTTTATCAGACGAAAAAAAGCAAAAGCGATAAAACCAAGAAAAATATGTGAAATTTGTAATACGTGAAAAGAGAAGCATGAAAGTAATCTAAGAGAAATGATAATGATAAGAAGATATTCAATTTATCACTCAAAAATATACATTACTAAAAGAGAGAATGAGAGAAAGAAGGAATAGAATTCTTTTGTTTTTATTTAAATTCAAATTTTGTGCTTGATTTCCTTATAACAATATATTCGTATATTATATTTCAAGTTTAATTTTAAGTTAATTCTTAATTAAGGAATATGGATTATGATGAAAGAATTTCAACAATATTGATAGGATTCAGAAGGCTGCTTAAATATTAACGGTGAAGTATAAAGCGTTATAAAGATATTTCTAACTGAAAATATTTGTTGATGCAATTGAGTTCCAATCTAAAAATTGTAGTATAAATTACTAATTCAATAAATTAATGAGCGAATCATTCATATTATTTTATTATAATATAGCAAATTGTGATTAAGAGTTGAAAACATTAGATTAAAATATAAATAATTCGATAATGAACAAAATGATTCATTATTTTATCAAGAAAATTCATGATCAATTTAAATTGATAAGTGATGTATTAATGGCAAATTTTTGTGTTGATTTAAACATCGAAACGAAAATATTGATAGTTTAGAAATTTGTCTGAGATTAATAAATTAAAATTGTAGTTTCTTTGTGGTATAATTTCGACAATCTTTTATGTATTGAAAGTAGTGATATTAGCAAGGAAGAATTTTGAAAAATATTGCTGGAAGAGTTGAATCGAAAACAGTTGCAACCGTTTTATACTTAAAATATCATTTTGCAATGAAACTTTATTTTCATTAAATATATGTATGTATTTTGCATTTTCGTAAATTTAATTTAATTTTTTTAAAAGATTAAATCAATTGAATTTTGAAATTTGTTAAATTTACGTCTTATTTGTATCAAAGAAAAGTAAGATTATTACGATTTGCTGCTGCAAAAGAAGTTGGACGATAATAGCTTATTAATTCTCTTTTCTATTCGTTCATATCCAATCGTTTACCTTTTATAGTTTGTAGGGAAAGTGAAACAGAATTTTAAAATAAAATCAAAAAATGCGAAAAGAAATGAAAGAAACAATAAGGGCGAATTTGCAAGTAAGAAAAATTGGTTGTGAAATTAAGATTGCCTTTAATTTGCCTTCTTTTCAGATCTTTAAATTTCAAAAATTTTGATTAGCAAATCGAATAGGAAATTTTTCGATGCGAAATGTTTTAAGAAAAGATTTGAAAAGTAAAAAATGAAAATGTATAAGAAAAGAAAGATTTGAAAAGAAAAGATCACTTCTGAAAATTTTCAAACTATCATTGCTATGTCATTCATCATCGTTTCTAATTCATTTCAATAATATGACTTTCACTTAAATCTTCATTTCTTATTGTCTAAAATTTTGAAATTGTTCGAATTTAGAGTTGTCAGAGATTGCTCGTATTTTACGATATATATATATATATGCTAGTCAGATTCAATAGAGCGTATTAACAACAAACGTTGGAAGTTTTGCAAAATTTTGAGATGGCAAGTTTTGAAGCTTAAAAATCATCAATGAGTAATGACGCAAGCAATAAATTATGAAATAAAGCAAATGTGAAAAAATTCATTTTTCATTTTACGTTTTACCTAAATCAAAATAATTTCAGGTTCTTATGCAAAAAATCAATGGTGAAGAATTTGCGAATGCTATAGCTTCACCTAAAATATGTGATACAATTGAGCTTTAAAGATTCAAAGAACTTATCAAAAGTTAAGGGTTCTGAAAGATAATTTTTAAATATGATATGTTTAGCAAGTTGGGAAAAGGAAGTTTTATTTCTTCCATTCTCAACAAAATTGATCCTTGACGATTCTGATTAGAATCTCATACCTGGCATTAAACTTTGCAGTTTTTTCTTCTTTCTCTTTTGCCTGAATGAATTTCTTTTAGAGAAAAGAAGCTTATCGAGAAGATAGAAAATCCCACCAGAAAAATATTATCGGATCTTCACGTACGCCTTGAAATTTAAAAAATTTTGATGGTTTAACCGTCGTGAACGTTAAGATCAGAACGAAAAAGAAATGCTGTCCTTACATATCAAAATTTGTCTCTTTTAATCAGAAATTGGAAATCTGAACTAAATTCAGCCATTATAATGTGGAAATAATTATAAGCCAACCAGATAACGTATAAATTTTTCTACCCAAATAATTTATTCCTTTTTTCAAATTCATTTGATTGAAGCAAAAGCTAATTGTACTTCCTGAATTGTTGAACTTTTCTTTTGCATGCTGAATTTTCAGCTAAAATAAATACTATATTAGACATCGTTTTATCATCTTTTTTTGTTGGTAATCTATTGACTGTTATCATTTGAAAGAATAATTGTGCATGTGGCACTTCGAGAATTGCTTTGAAATAATTCAGAAGAAGAAGAATTTTGTTGAAACAGCAAACGATTAAAAAAATTAATTATGAAATTGCTAACTTTGTGTTGTCAAAATTGTCCATAAATAAAATGGGACTAATTAAATGAAATATGAATTATTTGAAATTTCTATTCAATATCTTAGGATCTATTAGAATTGATACCGGATACCAGATCTAACGTGTTATCTGAAAATTGAAAAGAGTTGCACAAGAAGAGGAGAACATGTTTTAACAAATCAGTAAGTATTTGAGCTTTCAGTGTTAAATATAAGATTAGAAAATTTCAAAAAACTATCTGTTTTGCAATTAAGGATAAAGTTAAAAGTATTTATGCATTTCTGTTATATTTTCGAAGAAATAAATCATTTATTGTTTTTATCACTCGATCTTTTTCATATGAATTATTTATCTTTTATTTTGTTAGAATCTTTCAGTTATTATTACAACACTCATAACAAAGTGATATCAAAGAAAACTTTAGTAGCGTACTTCCGTGAACAACGTAATAAAATGTTACGTATATAACACGCAATAAGAGAATTACAACAATTACAGATTGTATACTTTGTTGGTGACTACATTCAATCTTCCACTTATTAAAAATCATTTTAAAATTTCATTTTTCAAGGATAAAGAATGCTAGTGTTAACTGTTGCATACAATTTATAATGATAAAGCGTTCTGCAGAATTCATTATCTTTATTTAAATTGAAACAATTCTTCTTTTTTAGAAATTTAATTTAGTTTAAATTTAATTTAATTTAAATTTAATTTAGTCATTTTAAAATGAGAAATTACAGACTAATTGCTAAAAGTTTATCACAAGAAAGATCGCAAACAATTCAGTTAAAGAGAAACGAATGGCAATATGATGCAAATCAATTTGTAATACTTCAAGTGAAGAAATTCTAAAAGAACAATAAATTTTAGCATCAAAATTAAAATATAAAAATCAATCATTTTAATGAGTGAGCAAATATGTTTGAACATTTATCAATGGATCGATCGTTTCTCTTATCTTTCTCTCTTTACAACAATTTCAAACGAAGATAATGACGAAAGACATGAAATCATTCGATAAATCGTTGTATGAATGAATGAATGGATAAGAATAAATTTTTTTCCATTCACTTTGTTTTTGCTTAAATTTAATTTTTTAATTATTATCCATTACTTTCCTTCCTTCTTATTATCCTAAAAATATATTTGAAGTAACAAAGTAGTGTAAAATTCATTGAAAAAGTTAATTTTCGTCTTTTTTCCTTTGTCTTTCAATATTTTTTAATTAATATTTGCATGTTAAAACAAATAAACGTTGCATATAATGATAAAGAATTATCTT